GCAGCTGCACCACAGTCCTGATAGATGGCCTCAGTCCTCCTAGATACCACATTACCGTGTGCTCCTCTAGCTCCACCAACACATATTTTAGCATGAGTTAGTCAAATTCAACTGTGTATTCCTTCGCAGAAGTCTCTCTAGCATAGATTGTTGAGTTTTATGAAAATATTATGTCGGTAATGTGGAGGAAGGTATTTATGCCGTTTCTTTCTTTTCACCTTGGACCATATGGTAATTTTATTCTTCCCTTCTCACTGTCAAATAATCTTTAAGTTCGCCCACCATAGAGATTCACTCTTCTTTAGCTTGCCCTCAGTTAGTCTTATAATTATGCTCCGTGGTTGTCCTAACACTCAAAGACACATTTCACGGTTTGGAGCCACTCGATGGCCTTGTCTAGATTCAAGTGGCAGTCAAAATGTGACAAATTCTTCTTTGCTTCAAGATCCACAAAGACACATTCTACAGTCTAGAGTCACTCGTTGACCTCGTCTGGATCCAAGTGGCCGTCAAATATGGCAACTCCACTTTTATTTTAAGATCTAGGTTCCTATGATATTGCAGGCCAACTCTTCGGGTAAGGGTTCTTTATCTCTAGAATCTGCCTGACCGAAGGGATTTACTGCATTTTTTCGATTTGATAGTCACCGTTGTGGCTACCAGTGACCTTTCCAGATTGCCTTCTCTTGAAGATTACAACCTCTCTCGCAGTTGGAGGATTTCCTACCACATATCGTCTATAGAAGGTTCCTAGATATCTCTTTACGGATTTCTGTTAAACGACATTGCATCATTTCCTCCCGAACAATTCTTTGACAATTGTCGCTTTCGTGGTATGGTTGGGGTTTGGGTTTGAGCAGTTGGAAGAGGGCGAGCAAGAAGATTTTTGGATAGCCGGTTTGAAAAATCAGCAAATGGAAGGATTTTTGTGTTAGGTACAGGTGAATTTTGGCAACCCTAGGATAGGATTAGGTTAGCTTTGATACCAAATGATACCCGAGTTTAACCAAACAATAAGAGGAAAATAAATATTATTACTGAAATCAAATAAGAATTTACAACCAAACAACTGAAATAGGAAATAACAATACACATGACACAGAACAGGTGACTATGGTGAATCGAAGGTGGTATTGGTGGGCTGTTGAGGGTCCAGAAAGGTGGCGGCAAGGTGGGCGTGTAGAGCAAGTGGGCAGAGGTGGTAACGAAAGAATTGTTCCTTGCTGTCCTGGTCGGCAGCATGGAGGTGGGGGGATGGACAAAAAGTAATACAGTGAATAGAGGTGGTTCTGGGCAGCAGCAGCTCTATTAGAAGGCCGGAAAAGCGGGGAAAATAGCCACCGAGGGTGGGGAAAGCGGCGGGTAAGGCTGGACAGGTTGACCCCAGCAAGAGAGAAGTGGGAGGAGCAGTCGGGAGGGCCGGAGGTGAGGGAAAAGGATGGGTGGAAGGCAGAAACTGCAGGTGGACAGCAAATAAGTGCTGTTCCAGGTGGCTGCAGCCAGGAATGGCGACCTAGGAAGGTGTGGGAACTATTAGGAGCGGCTGGAAAGGCTGTGGGTTGCCTGAAACAGCAAGGGAGAGGACAGTTGTAGCTGCGGTAGAGAAGAGGGTTGCGGGACAGCGAGGAACTGTGGAAAGAACAGCAAAAGGGCTGCTGTTGGGGTGGCCTACAGCGAGGATGAATGAGTGGCAACGAAGCGGGAGGGATGCGAAAGAGTTGAGAAAGGATAAATCATCACCTTGGGAGTGAGATATAACCAAAACACCACTCGAGTCTCTAGATACAGTCCTAAACGGGAAACTAAGACGCCGGCGGCTGTCTCGAACAATACTGCGATATTAACAGAAGCTTAAACATGGAAAAAGCACATAAATACCACTAGGGTAATTAGAAGCGGTCCCTCTCTCACAAGGAGACGGTAATCTCACGTAAACTGTGCTTCTGAACTGGTCCCATCAGTCCAGTGCGAGAGTCGGTCTAGGGAGTTCCGCATCCTGTCTATATGCAGAAGATGCTTGAGTCAAGGCATTTGTTAAAGTTAATTTGTAATCCGCTTCATGAAACGATTTTTATCTTGATCACTATAAGATTGCGGAGCATGATTAAGAGATGCATCAAAATTTTATTTTAAACTCATCTTAGATTCTTAGAGAAATTCAGAGAGTATGCCAACAGGTAGAAAGTAACTACTGTAATTTGGCAAAGGTGAGTTTGACTTGGAGAGCTTAATATGTAGGGGCTTTTTACTTTGTAAATCCTAGTCAAACAACTAGTGGTCAGTACCATCTTTGACATATGATGTTGGAGGAACCTGGTCTTGTCAAGCGTAGCAGGAGGCTGGGGCTGAGATAAATTTTCCCCTCAATCTCCTTCTCGAATGGCTTTGTTATTATAAATCAGAATTTCAAATTAATTTATATTGCCATGTTTGCTTCTCCATTTGTGATTGTATTAACAAGTTGATCTCTGAAATGATGCTTTTCAATATTTGCTAGATTTTCTTTGGAAGTTTGTATCCATATTATTAAGATTATCTTTTATCAATATGTAGAGCAATGTTGTTGGCGCGGGGCTCAGGAGAGGACCGACTGGTCCTCAAATGAGGGGAGGGCTGCCACCCCCTCCTTCCCCTTCTTCCTTTCCCTCTTCCCCTTTTTCTTTCCTTTTCCTCTTTTCTCCCCCTTTCCTTTTCTTCCTCCCATTTCCTTCCTCACCTTTCCTTTCTCTCCCCCTCACCTTTCCTTCCTAGGCACTTTTCTATTTTAAATTCTTTCCTAAAACTTGAAATTCTAATTTTATTCTCCTTCCTTATTTCCCTTTCATAAAATCTAAAATCTCTTTTTCCTTGCTTATTTTAAAAGTCTTTCCTAAAATCTGAAATCTCTTTTTATTCCCTTTAATTGTTTTAAAGACCTTCAAAAAGTATGTAATCCTTTTTATTCTCTTTTCTTATTTTGAAAGTCTTTCCAAAATCTGAAATCCTTCCTAAAATATGTCAAATCTCTTTATAAATAGGAGGTGATGTGCTTATATATGAATTCAGATTTTATCCTACAGTTTATCCTTCAATGGCTGTATACGACATTGAGGAAGTGCTTCGGCCGTCCCTCGTCCGAGTTTGTGATCGTCTCCACTGGTCCAGGTGGTGCTCCGGCTTTAGCTCGACCCCACTAAGATATTTATCTATCATTCCACCCTTCTCATTGTTGTCCACCTGCTTCCTAGCCCTACGCCTGCAGGCTTCCACAATCCTTCAGCCACCAGCAGGCCACCGCCCCTCCTCTTACAGTATGCTGCCACAACCTTTCAACCACCTGCAACCTTCTTTTCTACAGCTCCTTTGCAAGCCGCACCTACAACTAATCCTTCTAGCTCTTCTCTGTAGCTCCTTTGCAGGCCGCGACCATCACGTCGCCTTCTTGCAGCTTCCTTGTAGGCTGTACTATTCGATGCCCGTTCCAGATCCTCCCTACCGCAGTCCCATGTGCTCCTTTCAGCTGCGGTTCGACGTCTTGACGATCGCTGACTTGATGTCCTACTCTTCCACAACCGTCCAACTTCTCTCCGACCTTCACCACAACCTCCAATCTAGTACCACCTCTCCGTACTTCCTCATCGTTAGCTTGTTGTCTCTCTTTTTGTCAAGTCTTTATTTGTAATTCTTTATTTTACGCTTTTGTTTTGTGTGTTGTTTTTCTTATTTTAGGTATTCATTGTAACCTCGTTTAAGTCATTAGTAAAATTGTGACGTGCGTCATGGTTTGGGTTAAACTCCGGTATCAGTTGTTTTTCTAAAGATAGTGTCAACTACATTGTTAGTAGGAGGAAGAGATATCGGCCTTTGAATAGGTGTCCATCTTCTTCCCTTCCCTACCTTGCCGCCGCCTCATCCAATCCTCTAACTATCACCACCATCACCCGGGAGCCGCCCTAACACAAGTTTGCGTGTCATGTGTGTTGTATTTTCCCTTTCAAGTGTGCTGATTGTAGTCATTTATTTGCTTTTAGTAATATTATTTGTTTTTCTGTTGTGATTTGGGTTAACTCTGGTATCAGTTCTGGAAGGAGCCTGAAATGAAGGACACACCATTAGAGCAACATGTTACATAATCTATTTTGTATTCTCGAAGATATATTAAAAAAGTGGATAAGGGAGGTACACATTTTTAAGGTGGCTCAAGGCTTTGGTGTGACAAGGACATCTCTCAATTTGGTTCAATTTCTTATGGACCGAGAATGCATCTGGCTGTAGCTAATTTCCAATCAGGTTCTGCACCATATTGGGCATCAAAGCTCTCAATCAAGAAACAAGGTTCATAATGCATCTGATGCAGCACATTATCATGTCGATCCATTCCTTGCTTAAGAATAAAAAACATTTATCGTTCTAGCTTTTTCTCAATTAGATATGCAACCCTGACATTAAATCAGTGCTCTGACTAATTTTTAAATGAATAGTTTTATGATCTGTGAGCATAATTCTTATTCTGCTGCCAACCGGAAGTTCATTAACCTTTTTTTGTAGCTCCACCCAACGTTCTTATTGTAATACTATCAAACTTAATAATCTTGACAGTTAAATATTCTTTTTTTTTGTTACCTTTGTTAGACAATCTAGTTTAGTGCTATGGTTGTCCTTTTAGCTCAATTTGCATGTTGATTTATATAATAAAGGGAAATTAATGCACGTAGCACTCATTCTTATGCATTTACATCACACAACTAAATTTTTATATTTCCATAGCACTTTTGTGTTTTAAACCTCTCCGTGAAAAGGTGTATTTCACCTTTAAAAGGTGGTAATAGTGCTATATTTGATATGATATTAAAGATTTCAGTGCTATATGTGTAAATATGAAAGTTTAGATGTGAGATATAAGAGTTGTGTGCTATGCATGTGAATGCCCTTGGTTTAACAATCCATTGTTTTGTTGAAAAACTTTTAGTTTTAATTTCTGGATATGGATATTTGATGTCTACACAGTTTTCTATCTGCAGGTGGGTTTCATTAAAGAACTTCAGAATAAACATCTTCCAATCATATTGGTATGTTGACCGCCACGATCTCTAGTTTGAATTCTTCCATGTTTTTTTTTTTCTCATTTCGAATGCTTTATATTTTCCATTAACATTTTAGTTGCAATCAACTATTATTTGAATCTCTGCTATTTGGATCTTCCAATCACGTTGTTTATAATGGTTATCATTATTTTTATCCCGGTTATTTGGCGTTGGCTTTATGGATTCTATTTCACCTTTAGTTCATGCTAAATGTGCATATGGTTCGTCTGTCATAGTTCTTTCAGATGATCTGTATCTTTTGCTTTGTTTTAATGGTTTTTATTTAAATTTGTTTTTTTTTTCTTATAAGTTTCTTGTTTTCATTTATATATTTATTTATTTATGCTTTGTTTTGAAGGTTGGACATTCTATTGGCTCGTATATATGTATTGAAATTCTGAAGAGATTCCCAGAGCAGGTGATGATTTCTCTTAATGTTGGACATTCTATGCATTTGTTCTTTTTTTTGAAAATAAATAGTTTTTTTCTTGTTTATTTTTAGGAGATATTTTCTATTTTACTGTACCCATTTTTGACTTTAAACACGAGTTCATTGAGGCAGCGCATGATTGGGATGCTTTCAAGGTATTGATATGCTATCATGATTACTCGGTTTTCGTTCTTTAATCTGCTACCAATTGAGATATATCATTCACTGGTGATGTGAGTAACGAGTCTTTCATTTTTTGGCAGAAAATTTGATTAAAAAATGGCCATGTAGGTGTGTGGAGTTTTCAGCCAGTACTTCTGAAATTTTAAATATATTCTATGTTATAATCTGATTTTTTCTCTCTCCTTTAACTTTTATTCATGCGATTTCATGAAATTTTTTTAATAAACATATTTGCAAGTGATTATAATTCTTCTTTTTATTGATTTTTAAAAAATAATGTACTAATTCTTATAAGAAATCTTTTTAGTATAATTTTAAAGACTAAAAACATAAATAATGATTAAAGAATAATGTTTAATACCAATATTTAAAACAATGGATATTTTAAAATTGTTGTGATTGTAGATGAATGAACATGCTAAACCATGCAATGAATTTAAGATGAGAGCACTGGGGGCAAAAGTTTAAATAATTATATCAGGCTTGGAAAATGAATTTGGTTTTATATCAGAAAATTTCAGTATAGACGTGCTTTTTACGCTTGAAAATTAATTTAAAATTACATGGAGTAAAAAAAGGTCTTTCATTTCATTTGTATTTATCTTGAGAAGTATTATAATTGAGTACCTTCTCATTTTGGTTTTGGGTTATCAAGAAAAATTTTTTTTTGCCAGGGGTATGTTGATGTTACAAAAGATATTTATGATGTATCATTGACTTGCATTAAATTTCTAGGATTACTTTAACGTTTGACATTAAGTTTATATTTTCTTTTATTGGTTTTGAAGATGCTAAGAATTGATAGTCAAAATGTTATGCTTTTTTTGGCAAATAATAGTCATAATCAATACGAAATCTCGTGAAACAAATGAGGGCAGTGAAGTAAATATTTAGAATGTGGACCCACCCCGCTTTAAAAATTCAAGCAACTTCTTTACTCATTCAAGTCTTGCATGGGCGGTCCCAAATCCTTAACATTTCGCTGAGTTGATTAAAACCAACATATGAAACTTGATTTGAGTTCCTGCATGAATAGGAGCAGCCCCTAAGGAAACCCTTAGTGACTCAAGCACTCGCGGGCACCATAATTTCTGCACCGACAAAATCACGCACGATGTTGACTTGAATCCGGTCGATCGTATGCGAACTCGTCCGAACAACCATGGACGACGAAACGTTATGCTTTTTTTGGCAAATAATAGTTATAGTCAATACGAAATCTCGTGAAATAAATGAGAGTAGTGAAATATTTAGAATGTGGACCCACCCCACTTAGAAAATTCAAGCCACTTCTTTACTCATTCGAGTCCTGCACGGGCACTCCCGAATTCTAGGTATTTCGCTGAGTTGATTAGAACCAACATATGAAACTTGAGTTGAGTTCATACATGAATAGGAGCAACTCCTAAGGAAACCCTTAGTGACTCAAGCACTTGCGGCACCATAATTTCTGCACCGATTGAACCATGCACTATGTTGACTTGAATCGGGTCGATTGTCAGCGAACTCGTCCGAACAACCCCGGATGATGAAACGGACCGCACAGGCTCGTTTGGGACATCAACTACAGCTAAAAATGACACTCATATTGCTATGGTTCCGCACACACGCAAATGACATGAAAATTGATGCACATTTTTTTTAATTAGGGGTTGTGGGTTGAAGCTCATCCCAGGAGCAATTTGGGTTTGATTCGGGCTGAACTCGAGCTGAACACAAGCTGAACAATTTCAAATTTCAAACTTTCAAATTTGAAACGAGTCATTTAATCCCGCCTTAATTAAATATAATTAGGAGTTATGTTTTTCCAATTAAACATCCTCCACGCATGGAAGATAATCAATTCCCCGTCCAATGCAAGCGTAACAAACCTTTGGAATTCGTGGGATACAAATCTCACTCGGCTCGTCACCTCCTTCATTTTCGGTCGTGCCTTTTGATCTCGCTCCCCCTTTCTTCCTCAGCTCGATCCTACTCGCCTGCTCTCCTCTGCGAACCAAAGCCTCGTCTGCTTCCCTCTTGCGCACGACAAAGCACCCGCTCGACGCCCTCGCTCGCACTAGCTCTCCTCCTCCCCGCGCCGAAGAACCCGCTCAACTGCTCGCCTCCTCCCTGCGCCGAAGACCCCACTCGCCCCCCCTCATATGCACCGAAGATCCCCGCTCGATTCCCTCTCTTCTATGCGTCGAAGAAACCCAACTCCCTCTTCAGCTCTAGCCGAAGCCCTCCGCCTCACGTTCGGCTCGTCCCCTCTGCACTGAAGCCCTCCGCCTCCTCACTTCTTCACTCACCCCGAAGCCATCGCCTTCCTCATCCCGCTGAAACTCTCTCGCTCGGCTCCGCGCCCAAAAATTGATGCACATTTTTTTTAATTAGGGGGTGCGGGTTTAGGCTCATCTCAGGTGCAATTTGGGTTCGATTCGGATGGAACTCAAGCTAAACACAAGCTGAACAATTTCAAATTTCAAACTTTCAAATTTGAAACGAGTCATTTAATCCCGCCTTAATTAAATATAATTAGGACTTATGTTTTTCCATATAAACGTCCTCCACGCATGGAAGATAATCAATTCCTTGTCCAATGCAAGCGTAACAAACTTTTGGAATTCATGGGATACAAATCCCACTCGGCTCGTCACCTCCTTCATTTTTGATCACGCCTTTTGATCTCTCTCCCCCTTTCTTCCTCAGCTCGATCGCACTCGCCTGCTCTCCTCTGCGATCCGAAGTCTCGTTTGCTTCCCTCTAGCGCACGAGAAAGCACCCGCTCGACGCCCTCGCTCTCACTCTCTCTCCTCCTTGCGCCGAAGAACCCGCTCAACTGCTCGCCTCCTCCTTGCGCTGAAGCCGCTCAACTACTCGCCTCCTCCCTGCGCCAAAGCTGCTCAGCTGCTTGCCTCCTCCCTGCGCCGAAAACCCCACTCGCCTCCCCTCATTTGCACCGAAGATCCCCGCTCGATTCCCTCTCTTCTTTGCGCTGAAGAAACCCAACTCCCTCTTCCTCTCTCTATCGCAGCCCTAGCCGAAGCCCTCTGCCTCGCGTTCGGCTCGTCCTCTCTGCACCGAAGCCCTCCGTCTCCTCACTTCTTCACTCCCCTCGAAGCCATCACCTTCCTCATCCCGCGGAAACTCATTTTGAGGTCATTACTTTTTTCCTTCGGATCCTAGGATCTAACTCTAGGGGTTCCTATTGACTATCTTAGAAAACTAGCATTGAAATCCATCCCCTTAAAAATTCTAGTCACTTCCTATTTCTCTTGTGATGTCTCGCATTGATGATCTCAAAATCATCGTCGTTTGGTCAAGTGGTTAAGAACTATCATGTGGAGACTCAAGGAGAAGTTCTCAATAGGATCTCAAGCCCTAGGAAAACCTCTTCAGGACTTTATGATCACACACACGCACACACAAAATGCACAAAATTCACTAAGTTGCACAATATCGGATTAGAATTGAGCTTAAAAGATGGGTGAAAACGCGAACTTCTCCGGACAACCTCCGATGACCAAATGTTTTGCGCCAACGCGTCTGGGACATCAATTTTAGTCAAGAAAGACACTCATATTGTCATAATTCCGCACACGAGAAAATTACACGCAAATCGATGAATTCGTCAAAACGACCTCCGACGTCGAAACAAACCACGCCAACGTGTTTAGAACGTCAGAATTACTTAAAAAGGACATCCATTTTGTTATGCTGTGATGCACGAATAAAGAATATACAAATCAAATTTTTATTTTTTTAATATAATAAATACTTTTATATTCATATTATTACTTATAATATTAATTTTAATCTTAAACCTTATTTCACCTAAACCACGCTAACCTCTTTCCCCACTCAATCACGCGGCTCGATCGAAGCCCTAGCTCCCGCGTCTCCTCTGCCATTGATGGCTGAAATTGTTATCTTTTTGTTTTCCCCATTTGGTGGGCTCGGTTTACCTGTGATGTTTCTCTGTTTTTTGGCCCCTTTTGCTGGGTTCTGTTTAGCCTGAAGCTATGCTCGGTTCAGCTGAAATTATATTCTATTTTCCTCATTTGGTGGGCTTGGTTTTGCTCCTTCTGGGTTGGATTTTAGTTGAAAGTTATGTATTGTTTTTGCCCCTTTGGTGGGCTTGATTTTGGCTCCTTCTGGGTTGAATTTTAGCTGAAAGTTATGTACTGATTTTTGCCCCTTTGCTGGGCTTGGTTTGGCCTAAGATTTGGGTTCGGTTTTGCATAAGATTTTGCTTGATATGCTCCCTTTGCTGAGCTCGATTTAGCTCCTTTACTGAGCTGAATTTTTCATTGAATGTTCTCTTTCTATTTTAACCCATTTGATGGGTTTGGTAATACTGGAATTCTGCTCTATTTGGCTTTGAATGATTTTTTTGTTGGGTTCGATTTAACTCTTATGTTGGGTTTTTTTTTTTTTGCCTAAGAAGTTCGGGCTGGTTTCTCCTGGAATTTGGCTTGGTTCGGTTCTTTTTTGGGGTTGGGTTTTACTTGGAATATTGTTTTATATTTGCCCCCTTTGTTAGGCTCGTTTTGGTTAAGATGTGGCTATGCTTATGCCCTTTTGTTGGGCTCAATTTTAGTTCCCATTGGCTTCCCCTATTCGAATATATGCGGAGATCTATTCCAAATAATTTAAAAAAAAAAGCGGTGATGTTGGCTAATGCCTTTGCTGTCCCTGTCCGTGAGCTTGTTTTGGGGGTTGTGCTGTCCTTTTGCTGTCCTTACCTGTGAGCAATAGTTGGTGGTGGTCTTCTTCTTGCTGCCTTGGCCGTGAGCCTTACCTTGTGGTAGCTGCCCTTGTGGTTTTTTTCTTGTTGCCTTGGCCGTGAGCCTCACCTTGTGATTTCTCTATGTTATAAGTTGAGTTGGTGGCTGCCCCTCTTTGTTGCTTCGCACTTATATGGTTTTGTTTGAATGATTTTGTGCTTATATAACATGTAAAGCTTTTGGTTGGAGTTGGAATTAGATGGCTTTATTGTTTTTCAATATTTTGGGAATTTTGAACGTGGTCGTTGGTGGATTACATTCCTTTATTCGATTTGTGAAATTTGAAAGGCTCTTAAAATTTTGTTTTGGGAAAGCATAAAGTTGATATGATAAAGTTGATATAAATTGGATTCATGAAAGGATTTGAAAACTCATAAAATTGTCGTTTGGGAAGAGTTTGGAGGCTTGACATTAAAATTTGGATAACATAAATGCCACATTCGAATTTAGGCTTAGATGTGTGAATATGTAGGCAGTGGTGGAGTTGTTTATACAATTATCACATTAATTCGAGCCCGTTTTGACTTGTTCGAAGCAAGATTTGGAAGAGATACCCTTCTTGGGTTGATCCATTTATAAAATTTGAGAAAATGATATTTTTTTTAGATTGATTCAAGGACCTTGGGCCCTCTTTTTCAGATCTTTTCGTTACAAGTTTTGAGGGTTGATTCACCCTTCGTCTTTTCGATCTTTTGGGTGGATCAGTTCTCTTTCTCATCTCCATTTTTGCTCTTTTTTTACTTCTTGGTTTGATTTTTGGTGCTTATGTGATTTTTGGTGCTTATGTCTAATACATAAGTGCTCATATATAGTCTTTTGCTATATATGAAGTCATCAAGTAAGGTCGCAAGTAGGTTGGTTTTGTTTTGAGGCTTAGGGCGATGATGACAAAGGCACGTCGATGGTAGAGCGGAATGATATTCCATCCTACGATATCAGGATCCAATCCTAGGAATTCTTGGGACCTAATGAACCGTAAGATGAACATATCATTCACTGACACAAGAATAGGGGACCCGTACCTTCTTAGGTTGTTGGCAGGTTGTTGGCGGTCGTACGCCCGACGGCGTAATCGACTCGTGGACAATCATAATTTTTTTAAGATCGACTCGTGGATAACTATTCCTTTTTCAAAATTGATAAAACAAATTGATAAGAACAGATACAATATTTTTTTTACTACAAAATTAATACAACTTACTTTTTGTATGCATGAAATCCATGTGCATGCTAAAATATAAATTTTAAAAGTGTCATAACTTGGTTGTCCTAAAATTGAGTTAAAATTTGGTTGTCCACTTGTTGATTACCGATACCGGGCTAAGGAGTACCCTCCTAAGTTAGGTTTAGTAGGACATCCTTCTAGTTGAGTGGCAGACTATATACATCCGGGTGATTGATAGTAGTCTTCGACGTCCATCGAGTACAAACATATTATATTTGAGCTAGCCCCGACCTGAGTGCTTGCGGTCCCCTCTTTTCGGATTTTTCGTATGTTTTATTAGATATTTTGGGCAAAGCACTCGTGCTACTTTTTCCAGGATCTTCACGAGATTTTGATAATTTTCTTGGAATTGTCATTTGTTGATTTTTTTCGAGTTTTCCGTCGTGAGTCATTTGTCGATTTTTTTTTTCCTGAGTTTTCTGTCGTGGGCCATTTGTCGATTTTCTCGAGTTTTCCAGACAATGTTTCTTTTGTTTATACAGTATATACTAGCTCGCTTAAATGAGCGGCAATCCTCTCAGATATACAAGTTTGATTTACATTACAGCGTTTTACTTCATAGCATATTGTACTGTTCTTTCTCTTTTATGCCGTATATTCTACTGTTCTTTTCTTGTTATACTGCGTGATTTATTGTTCTGTTACACACTATACCTTAGTATAAGAAAACCTAATGATTACATGTACTCTTTAAAATTAGTATCAAACTCGAAGGTGCTACAACGAGGAGCTTGGAGCGAACACAGTGGGCAACACGACGAGGACACTTAGAAGAGCAACGTCAAAACAAATTCATATCACTAATCACTTTCTTTAGTTTAAATAACAAACCATAGGATTTTGAGGTGGTTTGCCTAGCGCAGCGTAAACTCTCATCTTATCTTTAGGACTTTTTCACAGCCCTGTTGTGCAATTATAAGTCCTAACACTTAGGATTTCGAGGTTACCGTCCGGTACGGTATAAATCCTCCTATCTTTTTAGGCTATTTGCACGATCAGATATCGTGCGAATGTAAGTCTTAAATTCTAAAGTAAATTGCAAGATTAAACATTGAATAACATCACTTCAAAAACATAAAGCCAAACAATAGGATAGTTTAGAGGTCACCGGGGTTATCACTGGATCTGTGATATCCCTACTCTTCGCTTCTTTGGATTCCCTAAAATAATTGTTCCTATTTGAGCCACTCCCATTTGATTTTCCCGTGTCCAATCTTGGAAACCTAAACCTTGAAATCTTGAAAGCAAAACCACTTATCTTAATCGAGAGTCTTCTTAAGTGACATCGGTCATTTAAGATGTAATTAACTATAGGGGCTTGCCCTATAGGGAACTTGGAATCTTGGTAAAATAAACCCCTATCTAATTCTTATATTAGATAAATGAACTTGTCGGTCATACATAAAATGTTTTGTAGACCAAACGGATGTCGCAAACTTCTTAGTTTAGGTGTTTAAGCCTACTGTTAAGTGATATGCTTATACTTCGGGATAGTGTATTACTTGTGGTATCACATTCAACCGTCCAAACTATTTAATATGTGAGACTCGTTTGGTCTCATCAATTTTTAAAACTAAAATGTTACTTTCAAAAATCATATTTACATCAAAACTATTTTCATATTTTACAAAAATCATCATTTCTTTCAAAAATAACGGCCGACATGAACTTATCGGTCACACATAAAAAGTTCGCAGGTCAGACGGATGTCACAAATCTTTTAGTTTGCAGGATTGAGTCAATCGCCGAGGTATACACTTATCTTTCGGGAAAGTGTAGTATTCGCTCTATCAGATGCAATTATGCAAACTATTAGACTAATTAGATCCATTTGGTCTCATTTTTCGAAAATTAAAACATACTATTTTCAAAATCCAAACTATATACCTCTTTTATTAAATTAAATTTAAAAATTATTTTCAAATAAAAAAGTTAATCGATACTATTGTTTCAAAAGATCGAGGGAATAGATGATATAACTTTCATTATTAGAAGTTAAGTGATTAATAAAGAAGTGCATCGTGAGTATTATATGACAATAGATTTAAATGTATATCTTTTGGATCTTGGTGTTGAGCAGTTAAAATATCGCTGATAGCTAGGTTGAGCATCTGGATTGAGGAAGAATTACATTAGAGGACAACTGTAGGTTTCTCTTCAAGATAAAATGGTGAAATATAAACTTAGGTTGTTTTAACATGTACAATGATGGATGTCTCAGCCCCTTAACAACATTCAATGCGAACTACTGGATAAAAGGATTTGTAGATTTGACCCCTAATAATTGTGGTAAGGCTAATGATGAGACGTCGTCCTTAGTTTTGTTTGATACTCGTGTGTTTTTCATAGTGCTTGAGGTTGGGATATCTCAGCCACCGGCGTTTTATTTGCTGTATATTTTTAGCAAAAAGCGATTTTTTTTTTTTTGTAAGTAAACAATCATCCCACGCAAAGATATAACATCAAAATTTCTCCCTATTATTATTACTGTCCAAAACAGCAACTTTTTGTAAAATTTTCGCAATTTTGGATTTCAGACTTGTTTATTTTCATCTCTATTAATTTTAGTTTTGAGCTACATTTGGTGCTCATTACAGTTCTGATGAGACTTGCTCTGAGTAATTTGATCAAAAATGAAAATTTGCTATTTTTTCTCTGCTCTAGTATGCTTTATTGATTCTATCTGCTCTTCTATGCTAAATTCCTTTAATAATGTGCAACGGGGAAAAAATTAATTTTTTGCTCTGTTCTGGGATTTTAGAATTGCATATATTCATCTCTATTAATTTCTTTTTACGCGTTTGATTTAAGGTCCTCCCTTTTAAGTGCAACTATCAGCCATATTGTGGCCTTGTTGGGTTCATTTCCTACACGAATTTCAAGAGCTATTGTAATTAAACTTTTTGGCCCATCATGGTCTACAACAGCAGTTGATGCTGCATGCAATTGCCTTATGAAGGTTGGTTTTCCTTACTTAATCTTTAGACATAAATTTTATTGCCAAGGAAAAGTTTGTGATTTGCATGCTCGAATAAATGAACTCTGTCGTAAGACTCAATGTTTTTATGTCCTGTTATATGAAATTGAAATATCATTTTTGAGTAGATTAATGGAACATAACAATAGGAATCATTATCATCATTAGATTTATTCCAACTATGTTTGGATGGATTTATGAATTCATGGTCATTTTTTGTTGAGTGCTACTCGTGGTGTTAAATTTATTTTGCACAAAATATACTGGAATTTATCCATGTTACTTTTGTATACTCCTTTTTGCTAATTCTTATTGGATAATTTATTTATCTTTCATAGATTTTATTTTATTATCTTGATTTACACGTGCTTAAATCACCGAAGTCTATTTTCAACCACCTTGATACCGAAGTTAGCCCAAATCTCACCCGACTGAAAATATTATTGTAGAAATACAGTGGAATTACAAAAAAGGCTCTTAAAACAAGAATAAAATGACAAACACAAACGATACCCTAGGATGAGGACAGAAGTGGTGGGCGGTGGCTGGACATCAGATATGTTGGTTGGTGGGGAGGTTGTGGCAGCAGTAGGAAGGTTGGGATGGGGTTGAGGCAGTAGACATGGAGGAAGGATTGGGGGCTGGCAGTAGAAACAGGGAGGGGTAGGTGAAGGAGAGGAGCGCAGGTAATCACCACCTTAGAGGAGTATACAGTCAGAGCATCACCTATTCTAGGATACATCTCTAACAAGGGAAAAAACGTCGACGACAGAAAAGCCTGAAGCAAAAACGGAACCCTAACATAAAGAAAATAACATGTATATAGTAATATATAACTAGGAGGGGATGAGACCCCCTCCCCTCAGACGACAACCCTAACCTAGCCACTTGGGCTGGGCGGCCCTTGCATCCCTTGCTGAACTGGCTCACTTCCCCTCAATTTTTATCATTTGCGTCTTTCCCTCAATCTTTAGGTTGATCATTTATTAAGCAATCATTCCTTATTTTTCTCTACCCATTCATCTTATCATTTCCATTTGTTTTGCATTTAACTTGGTTCTATATATATTTCTCCTTACACTCACATCCATAAAGCATTGTTATTCACTTAAATATCATTTCAGAAAATTTTTCTAATCATGGTTAGTAGATTATGCTTATTTCATTGTACCTTCGCACTTATATTGATTCCTCTATATACAATATAGGGGTCATCTATTGAGTAATACTCGAGCAATTTTTTTCTCTAGCATGGTGCTGGAAAAGAATTAGTTTTAAAACCTAGATTCCTCCTTCCTCTCGTTTCCTAACCCATAAACCCAACCCCAGTCCAATCCCTCTCTTGCTATGATGCACCGATACAAATCCAAAGACGTAAAAACAGCACACACATGGACGCATCTGCTATTAAAAAATATAGGACATTGATACATATTGGATATGCCATTAAATATATTAATATATTTTAAAATTCTAAAAATGTGGCATAGCAGTTGAATAAATTAAACAAACGTGAAATGCATACAATTCAAATAATGTAGTAATAAATTTTAAAACTTAGGATGCTGGTACATTATGTATATGTCATTCCTATCATTACTATGTCACATAACCGATGACATACATGCCTTTATTTATTTATTATTTTTTAAATAAGGCTTGCCTTTGGTGTGTTTGACTTTTGTTAGAGGTGTATCAGGCAGTGTTTTACAAGTTGATGTTGACCTCATTTTTAGTGAGGTCTTAGTCTCCTACTCTTAGAACCTAGGATCTAGCTTTAGGAGTTCTTATTGACCATCCTAGCGGACTAGCAATGGAGCCTACCTCCCGTAGAACTTCAAGCCACTTCTTGACTCATTTTTGTTAAGAACTCGCATGAGTGGTTCCAAGCACTCAACTTCTAGTTGCAAGGGCTAAAGACCAACATGTAGAGGGCCCGAAAATGAGTTCCCATAAGATCAGATGACCATAGGTGAACCCTTTGTGACTCGATTACTCGCGAACACTGCAATTCACGCAATCACTGCATCACACACGCATTGACTTGAATCGACTCGCCCGTCGGCGAACTCGTCCGGACGACCCCGGATGACGAAACGGACCGCGCTGACGCGTCCAGAACGTCAACTTTAGCTAGAAAAGACACTCATATTGCCGGGGTTACGCGAGCATACATATGACACGAAAATCGATGCACATTTTTTTTAACGGGACACGGGCCCAGACTCAACCTTCCCTGTCAATGTAACGGCTCCTTCGATTAATTCGGCCCGCTCCTATTCAAAAAGGAACGTCGGCTTCTTCCTCGGAGGAGATACGACTCTGTTCCTTCTCACGCTCTCGATCCGGTACCCCTCCTTCACAGACCGAGACCCTCGTCTCTCAGTCCCGACTCCCTCCTCTTCGGCAAGGAGCCCGCCTTGTCTCGCCTCTCTACATCGAAGTCGGTCCTTGTTTCGCCTCTCTGCATCGACGCTGGCCTCTGCCTCCCTGATCGAAGCTCTTGCTGGTCTCCCGCGCTCGATCGAAGTCCTCGCTCACCTCTTCCTCGCCCGATAGAAGCTCGCCTGCTCTCTGCGAACAGAACCCCCGCACTCCTCTACGAACCGAAGTTCGCATACTCCTGTACCGAAGCTTCGCTCGCCTCTCCTTCTCTGCGCCGAAGACGAGGATCTCGCTCGATCTCCCTCTCCCGAGCTTTCTCTGCTCGATCCTTTGCTACGCCGAAACCTTCGCTCCGCTCTTCTAATCACGCCAAACAGCAGCTTGACGTTGCTCCTCCCTGAATCGAAGGTCGCGCTCCCTCGATCCCACTCCTTCTCCGCTTGCTGGCTCTCCTCTGCGAACCGAGCTCCCATCTCCCGCTCGCCTCTGCTCCTTTTGTTCCGATCCTATCACAAAACATTTATTGAGGTAAATCTGTTTGTTGGAAATAATATATTAAATTTTGTTGAGGCTTTGGGAGTAGGATTTTGAGCAGGATAACTTGTTCGAGCCTCCAGTTATTTGCTCCTTTCGACTGCGATTTTTTTTTATTTGAGAATTTTTGAGTTGAAATTTGATGAGCTTAATCATAATAATGACTTCAAGATAAGATTTATGTTATTCCCTTCCAATCCTATTTGACGTCACCAGACTGGTTTCAAGGCATGATATATTTGAATTATACACCACAGAAAATCTTGTGCATCTAAGGAGCGTACTTCTGAATGACATTAAAATTTTCTCTGTTATATGTTCATCGTTACTTGATTTTAACTGTTGATTATCATTTCTAGAGCACTTTAGAAGAATTCACATTTTTCTGTAATTATGTTATTCTAAAATCTATCATTTTAGTCGCTGCTAATGGTATAAACATTACAATGATTGCTTACTAACACTTCACAATTTAATGCAACCTTCTTGCTTTGAAAACTATCCACTGTTTTACCATTCATGTCAATGTGAAAAGTTGAAAGTTCTTGTTCATAGATCTACATTTGGATGAGTTATAGCTTTTGCTCTTGTGTTGAAACCAAGCACTGACATCATTGAAACAATCATATGATTTAAACCTTTATATTGAATCATTTTGAGTTATAGGTTGCTATTCAGAATTGCAAAAATGACTCTTTGGAGTCGTTGAAAACTATAGGTTGTCGTTTGGAATTGTAAAAATGAACTATACCTAGTTGGAGAGGTTGTCACTATTTTGAAAGGCTTAAAAGTACTTTTTTAAGAGTTACATAATTGCTGTTTGAGTTTGTAGCAGACCATAAAAGTGTTGTTTGATCTTTCAAATTGTTGTTTGGGTTAGGAAGCTATACAAGTGATGTTTAGGGGTTATTTTGGGGACTGGTTCAAACGGGTTTTGCTGCAATTTTCGGAGCTTTAAATGTATTTTTTTAAAGGGAGACTTTGTCACTGTTTTGGGCTAGTTTTTCTAGCTAATTTTGTAACATTTAAAATTAGTGTTTTGGGCCTATATGAGAGCTATTTGGGAATTTTAAAATTGTTGTTTGGAGCATTTTAAATGTGGTGTTTGAGGCTTTTAAAAGTGTTGATTTGGAAACTTTAAAAGTTGTTATTTTGGGCCGCTCAAAACATTGTCTTGGAGTAGATTTAAACACTCATCTTGAGGGTCGATTTAATTACAACATTGAAAGAATTTAAACCTTTTTTTTTCCGATTCACTTGTTTTTCCCCCGCTTTGGCTTTGCTAGTTTCGGAAGTTGGCCGGCCTTATCCTTTCTTTTATTTTTTATTTTTTTTTTTTTTT